CCCCCCCCCCCCCACCCCATCGAAACTATTCTTCTATTGATTGAGGCCCCTATGTCATATAGCCCTGTAATAGCTCCTTCGGGACGTGACGAATCCCTCCACCGACACGACTTCTTTTAGTTTCTTTTTCGAACCAAGACAGTAGGTTTCAAGCCCTGCCCCCCAAAACCCAAACTTAGGCTTTAGGGTTTTCGGCGTTTGTCCAGATTCACAGATGCAAGAATGCATGTATGCATGTATGTATGTATGCATGTATCTACGCATGCATGTGTGTATGTATGTGAGATAATGCATGTATGTCGGCGCACATGTGTGTGTGTGTGTGTGTGTGTGTGCGAGCATGCGTGTGCCGGCTTAATATAAAGCTGGGTAATTCGTTCAGGGCCTTGCTCTTGAAGCCAAGATTGGCGATGAATAGGTAATGTAGGACACCTACGAGGCGCAGTAAGGTCTAGGCTGCTCCAGGATGCCGCCTTGCTGCAAGAGAAGTATCGCCAGTGGTTTTGGCAGCGCCACACAGGACAGCGGTTTGGGGATTTGGGCTTTACTTCAAATGCTGCTGCACCATCTCCGGCGACCAGAACAAGTACTTCTACTGTACTACTAGCTGTTGCTGCTGCTGCTGCTTCGACAAGCACTGTGCTAGTCTAGTGGGGCCGTCACCTTTGTTTCGACTCCTGCTGTTGCTGCTGCTTCGTCTGCAGTAGTTGCTACTCGTATGTAGTGCTGATGCTGCTCCTCCCTCCTCCTCCTCCTCCGCTTCTTCCTCCACGTCCTCGTACTCGTAGGTCTCTGATAGGAGAGGTTATTAAGAGGGGGTTCTTGACGGAACCCTTCTGCATCCCAACCCTTAAGCCTTACGGAACTCAAACAGGATGGCTCGTCGGTCATCTGAACGATATCTTCACACCGCGTTCGCGCGAGCGCTACAAGGGAAAGCTGAGTCTGCTCTACCAGCAGGCACTGGCTACTGTTATCGGAACCTGTATAAAGAGTGAAGGGTTTTGGGGTTGTCTAGGCTCCTAGCCTAGTGCGGCCACATTATTCCTACGCTACCATCTGGCTTCCTCCCTTCAGAGTTGTGCACGGGGTTCTGTAGACTTTGCTCCAGAAAGCACTGGCTAGGGTGTTGAGGGATCTAGTGTTTCGAGGTTGCTTAAGGGCCGGGGTGTGTACGGGTTTAGAACCCTAAACCCTAAACCTTGCAGGGAAGCGGATGGGAAAAACCTTGCAGGGTTTAGGAAGCAGGCAGTCGAGATAAAGACTGAAGCCAGGGCAGTGAAGGGTTTAGGGTTTCCGGCTTCAGAATTTTACGGTTTCAGGTCAGCAAGACGCGCGTCGCTTGCATCGGCCATCCAACGCCCAAAGCCCCTCTAGAGTAAGAGTAGAAAAGCCTTCAGAGAACCAGCAGACAAGCAAGTATAGCAATACTGCTACACCTCTCAAGTCTCAGTGTGTTTGCTGCAGTGCTTGTTCACAACACAATCTACATGTAACCACCGGCACCTCTCAGCCGTGCCGTGGAAGGCATTGCAGCTTCAACCAGACACTTGGCTACTCGTAGCTGCCGCGATTCGGGGCTTCAGTATATAGGGAAATGCTAGTTGCGTCCCCCGTCAAAGTGATAAGGGTCGGCGTGAGCTTGCAGAGTGTTGTCACAGCCTGAAGCATAAGCTCTACAGCTCTACAACCCCCCATGTAATCGGTGATCGAATAGAAGCTCGAGAGCCCTTTGGGACGGGAGGGTTACCACAGAGGTTTCCTGACGAGGCTTGGCAACTAAGTTTTTGAGTAGGGCATTAAGGATGTAGGACTTTGGCGTGGTCGTGCCACAGTGCCGTAGTCTATGACTACCTCGAGAGCTTGTGGAACCATTGAAACCCGAAACCTCAAGCCACTCATTGCCTGCCGGAATATAAGTACAATCATACTTATACAAACCTAAACCCTAAACCCAAAACCCTAAGTCGTTCATGCAGGCATCAGATCTACCCAAGGCCGCAATGCACCCCCTCATACCCTGCGTGCCGGAAGCATGCTGAACCCTGAACGCTAAAGTCTGCAATCACATCCTCAAGCCCTGCATACCGGAAGCACCTTGACCCCTAAACCCTACACCCTAAACCCTGAACCGTATCCGACCTAAGCGTGCACCGAAAAGTGGTTCGGTAGCGTAGCTCCATCAAGACACTCAACCCTAGGAGCCCCACGCTGAACACCCCAAACCCCAACCAGGCTTTAGGGTTTAGGGGTTCTGCTTGGCAGAGTCTGGGTTCAAAAATGGGGTTAGGGTGTAGGGGTTTGGGGTTTACCCATAGGCCCCATGGTAGTTCCCTTTTTGGGGGTTACCTTCTAGGATTCTATATATGAACCCCAAAAAGGAACTACTTTAGGGCCTTTGGGTAGGGAACCCACCCTAAACCCTAAACCCAACTTTAAACCCTAAACCCAACCCTATGCCGGCTAAGACCCGCGTCTACAAGACGCCCGGCGATGCCTTTCCAGAGCCTGCAGCCGGGTGGCAACCAGGATTTTAGGGTTTAGGGTTGTTAAAGCAGGATTGGAAGTTTCCTGATTTGGACAGTATCAGTGGTACCGTCGGGCATAGTATGATCGTCGTTACCCAAAAGAACTGGAACAAAAACCTCTTCTGTTATACTTCCCCATGGTCTCTCCGGGAAACCATCAGGGATACGACAAAAAAAGGCCCTAAACCCTAAACCGGCATCATCCGGCATGCCATGTTCCCAGACAGCCCAAAGCATCTTCCTTCATTAAGGGGTATTGGGCTTTGCGGGCTCTTGGTCACCAACCATTTCTCTTCGGACTGCTCTCTTATTATTATACATGCAGTATAATGTATCCCGAGACCGCGTTCTACTTACTGAGGCCCCCCCTACTAAGATTCGCTAAGCCCTAGGCCAGAATCCCAACCATAAGCCTAAACTTCGACGGGGGCGTTGATTTAGGGTTTCGTGTTATTGTAGGTCTGAAGGGTTTAGGAATGCAAGGGTTTGTTTGTGGTCTAGGGTTTTAGGGTTTGGGACTTTAAGGTTCAACTGCACCGGTGGAGTTACCTATAGTCACCTATAGTCTCCATTGTGAATTGTGGTTCCTTTTTGTGGCTGCCTTGTAGGGTCTTCATTGTAAAGTTGGTTAAACCGAAAAATGGGACTACAATGAAGACTAAGGTAGACGAAGCTCAGGAACTCAAAGCGAAGCTGCTGCTTTGATTGTGCCTGTACTCTGGAAGTCCTGCGTTGCAAAAGCTACACTTCGGTGGTTTAGGGTTTAGGGTGGCGGGGTGGAGGAGCCTGCCGGCACCTTCCGGCTAGCTGCTTAAGCCTCCCCCTCTCGCCACCAAAAAGCGTGTCACCGGTGTTGGGCCCTGTCAGTGATCTGATTCCGAGCAGGCTTAAAATGCTGCCAGCATCGTAGAAACTGCATATGGCCAGCCGTGGTCGGAACGAAAGGACTAAGGAGGGACTGGAACGGGCCCGTTAGGCTTGTCTTCTTGGACTGTTTCAGATGCCATCGCAGATTTCCCAAAACATCCTAAAAAAGTGGCCTTAAAAATTAGAATGGGGTTTGGGGGCCCATTCTACTAGAATTATAATAAGGAACCCCCAAAATAATATTGGTAATTACTTAGGCCCCTACATTACTGAACCCAGAACCGGATCTCGGAACCTGCTTAGGTGGGGCAGCAGGAGCTGCCAGAGAACTTGCGATTGGAGCTTCACGGCTTGCGCAAAGTTGGGTTTATGTATCGAAGTCGGATATAGCTGGGGGTGATCCTAGTAGTGTTCGGGTGCACGTTAGTGCCCCGAACTTTCGGAACCTGCATGTGCCTCAACAAGTAGTAACATAATACATCATTGCTCCCATGGACTCCGGTTGTCAAACCGGTCTAATATACTAATGCAGACCCTAAACCCTAAACCCGGACCCTAAACCCTAAACCCCTAAACCCCTAAACCCTAAACCGTATACTAATATAGACGTGTTTCCCGTTGGATGGAAGCGCTTGTATTGCTGTTGGGGAGCGGATCCTGCACCAGAGCCTTTGAGAATCGACGAGTAGAAGACATGACGCGAGGCTGCACCGTGAGCCCTAAGCCCCAAACCCGAAACCCTGAACCCAACCCTAAACCATCCTAAACCCCAAACCTTGAACACTAAACCATCCTAAGCCCTAAACCCAAAACCCTAAACCACCCTAAGCCCTAAACCCCAAACCCAAAACCCTAAACCATCCTAAGCCCTAAACCCCAAACCCAAAAGTCCTTTTGGCCAAGAGCATCCTTTGCTCGGACCCTTGAAAAGGCCACGCCTTGATGTCTAAGCAGATCTACACCGAAACCATATGTGTA